TCAGTTGTAGGGGATATGGAGCCTGAACTAGCCATCTTCTATAGCCAAGCAAGGATTCCAGTGGAGGCATTGGGACACCAACCCAGCCACAAAACCTTTGACTTACAATTTGTTCTTCTTCCAAAATGTGCTGGGGAAAAGGTGGCACAGAACTTGTAGGAGTGGCCAATCAATGACTGGTCCAGCTCAAGACCCATGCCAGGAGAGGAAGCCAATGCCTGACACTGCCTGGAGGTCCAGGAACCAGGGGTTGGATAGCACAGAGACCTAGGTTAGAACGAAACATGACCAGCAAAAACCAGAATGATTCCTAACATGCTGTATTCATAGATTGGTGCCTAGCCCAGTTGTTGTTAGAGGATTCACTCAGCAACTGATGGGAGCACATGCAGAGACCCACAGCCAAACATTAAGCAGAGCTTGGGGAATCATGTGGAATAGAGGGAGGAAGGAGCCAGAGAGATCAAGGACACCACAAGAAAACCCACAAAACCAACTAAACAGGGTTCATAGGGGCTCACAGAGACTGAATTGACAATTAGGGAGCCTGCCTGACCCAGGTCCTCTGCATATATATTATGGTTGTGTAACTTGGTGTTTTTGTGGGACTACTAACAGTGAGAGTGGGAGCTGTCTCTGACTCTTTTGCCTGCATTTGGGGTCCTTTTCCTTTTATTGGGTTGTGTCAACCAACCTTAATACGAGGGGATGTGCCTAGTTTATGGCTACTTGATATGCCATGTTTGGTTAATATTTCTGGGAGGCCTGCCATTTTCTGAAGGGAAAGGAGGAGAAATGGATCTGGGGGAGAAGGAGAGAGGGTGAGGGACTGGGAGAAGAGGAGGGAGGGGAAACTGTGGTTGGGATGCAATTTATGCAGAGACCCACAGAAAAGAAGAAATTTAAAAAAAGAAGACATTTTTCTAGATGTTTAATTTTTTATTTTATGTCATTTAGTCTATGCGTAAGCGTGTTCTTAGTAAGAAAAAGAAATATATTGGTAAGTTTTATTTAGAATCTTAAACATATCTCTATTAGGACCAAGTAATATAAGCTTAGAGCCTCTGATTTGCTTAATTTTTTTTTCTGTCTGAGTGGCCAGACAATTTCTGAAAGTGGGCTGTTAATGTCTCCTTTTATTATAATTACTCATAATATCTTACCCTCTATTATCTACCTTCTATCCCCACCAAGCCAGTGTCTTCCTAGCAAGTCTCCATCCCTCTTTCTGCTTTTTGTTTTTGTTTTGTTTTGTTTTGTTTAACTGGGTTCAACCAGAGCTTCCATGGGTATGGAGCTACCCACTGGAGAATGGGCAACTCACCAGTAGTTACTCCAGTGAAGATGATGACAGATAGCTCCCAGGGAAAAGGAAGGACCACATCTCATGCTCTCCTCCTACATCCATGAGACCTACTCTTGTATAGATTCTGTAGTAATATGTTCTTAGCGAAGATGAGACTAGAAGCAAAACTACAACAAAATTATACACATTAATAGCACCTACTCTATCCCTCCATACATTAAGAATTTTGTATAGGATTTTCTATCTTCATATTTCCCAGGGCTTTTTACATAGTAATGCATTTATTATTATTCTAAAATGCATTATTTAGGAACTGTTCATTCTGAAGATCTAAATTGTTCATGAATCATGCTTACAGTATTGTTCTTTATGTGTATTATTACCTTTATCAATTGGTTTAGACCTTGTTATATTTTCTTTATATTCAACTAGACATCTTCAAGTTTGAGTAGCTTCTTTTATCATTATATATAAAGCAGATAGGGTGGAATATTTTTACTCTCAGCTATATTGTTATATCTTCTTCAGTTTTAAATTGTAGCTTTACTGGGTACAGTATTTTCACTTGGTAGGTATTTTTTGTCTTCATTACTCTGAAAATGTCACGTTACTCTCCTTTTTATATTTCAGTGTAATTGCTTGAATATAAGAAACATTGAAATGATATTGGTTAAATTTGATTTTGTTAGTGACCTTTCACTTTACTGTATTTGGATGTTGTACCTTTCTCTAGTTTGGGGATATTTTGTGTTAAGATTGCTTTGAGAAAGTTTGTTTCTTTGCTATTCTATAACTCAAAAACAACAATTAGATGATCTTTTAGTATAGTCTTTGGTAATGCACAAAAATTGTGTGTTTGAAAGATTTGAAAGAAATTGGAATAGGAAAGAAAAACTGAGAAATGTACATATATATGAAAATTAAACAATTTGATTTGGAAATCACTTGATAATGGAAGAAATTAAGAAAAATTTGTAAATATTGTGACTAAAATGAAAATGTAAGAGAGCATATCAAACCAACTGGACACATCAAAAGCAGTACAAAATTGTAAGTTTACAGACATCAATCACTTCCTCTGAATAGATGGGTCTTCCTTATATGTTAAAATCAAATCATGTGTTCTAGTGAGCCAGATACTTGTATTTCTACTGAGTTAGGTCATATAATCATGTTTTTAAAATTATTGCTCTATTTTTCATTAATATCTATGTTTCATTGCATGATAATTGATTAATCTTTATCACCATTTTGTTCAACCTCTTTATTCACGTCGTGTTGTGCTAATGTATACTAATAATGCAACTCTGCTTGTTTTCTCATAAAGCGAACCTATTTGTTTCTAAAAGTCCTTATTTTTTTAATGGCCTTCATTTCATTGACAACCACATCTTTTCTACCTAACCCTCACATCTTGAATAAAGTATAATCTCAGTTTTAAAGTAACACAAGCCAATATTCAGCAAGTTTTTCAGTGCCTGTGTTCTGTAACATACTCTCATAGTCTTGGAAGAAAGAAAGAATAAAATTAATTTCACATAATTTCTTTCTTCAGATTTTCAGATAGCTATTACTCAAATTACTACTCAGAAAAAAATGTAGTTCAATAATTATGAGGTGAGTACAAAAACAAATGTATGGTAGTATAAGGACATAGATCAAAGAATGGAGTTTAACTTTTATTGATGGTATTACTATGAGGAAGCAGCTATACTTGAGATTAGTTTGTTTGTTTGTTTTTGTATGTATGTGTATATGTGTCAATTTTGTTATAATATTAACCAGGGTATGTCTGTAGGGGTGTTGATGTATTAACATTTTGGTAGGATTAACAAAGTAGTATATGGAAAAGCCCCATTCAATCGGTTCAAAACCTAAATAGAAGAAAAGTCCATTATTAATAATGAAACAAATGAATCTAGACAAACATGACAAATAAAGTCCAATAGAATAAACTACAGAATACATAATTTCTCTTATATAACAATGTATTCTTCCATTTATATAATTTCTATAACACATATGCAAATTTCAAATTATCAATGATTACCTTGTATCTGTAGTCAAAGTATGTGTTGAATTCCAATGACTAGTATTTGTGATGTTTGCACAATTTTTCTTATTTACTAAACCCCAGAGGACTACACAATTTAAGTGCTTTAACTTTTGTTGTTAAGGTTGTATCTTTGCTGATGTCTGAACCTGGGCTGTTGCTGGGGCCCATGTCTAGGTTCATGGCCCTGACGCAAGCCACGGTCTGTGTTGATGTCCAAGGCTCCTTATACCACCAAAGTCTTAGAGGATAGGACTGTACAGAATCGGCCCCGGCCCTCACTGGCTGTACCATTAGGGAGGAACTGGTCCTGCCCCTCACCAGCGAAAGTATTCAGCAGAGAGTGTACTACGCCTCACCTGGGCAGTACAATAGAGCTGAGCCTGTTCACAGTGGCATAGGAAAACTGGTCCTGAGGGCGAGAAAATGGGAGAGCAGATTGCACCCCTCTCATTTGCCATGTGGTACTGTGTGTGAGGGAAATATGCCCTCCTCCCCTCACCCCTTGACACCTGCAACAGGTAGGGGACCTGACCCAACTAGCTGCTGCACTCAGGAGAACAATCCCTAGGCAGCACAGTAGAGTTGACCCTGTAGACAGGAGCATGCGTGAGTCAGCCCTGGAGGGACAATGGGGCATAGCTGGTACCACTTCTCTGGTCTTCAGTGTGGTGGTAGGGACGAGGGAAAGACGCCCTCCTCCCCTGCTGCTACCACCTCCTGCTGGTCAGGGAGCTGACCCACCCCTTTACCAGCTGTAGCAATCAGGAAAGTGGACCCTGCACCTGGCTTGGGCAGCACAGGAGAGCTGACCCTGTTGACAGGGGTGAAGGTTAACAGCCCCAAGAATGTGAGTATGGGAGAACTGGTCCTGCCTCTTATCTGCCATATGGTGGTGTGGGCTAGAGAGAGATGCCCTCCTCCCCACCCCTTGCCACCTGTGGCAGGTGAGAGAGCTGGCCCTGAGATCATAAGAATGGGAGAGCTTTCTCTGTGTCTCATCAGCTGCAGCATCTCGGGAGAGTGGTCCCTATACCTCGCCTGGGCTATGCAGTAGGGCTGGCCCTAAAAGTGTAGGTGTGGGAGAGCCGACCCTGAAGACATGAAAGCAGGTCCTGCCCCTTGCTCATTGCTGTAAAGGGTGAAATAGCAGTGGGAATGCTAATGAGCTTACCCTTGTGGTGAAGACAGGGGAGAGCTGGTGGCTGACCAACCCTGAAACTATCCAGACCCAGAACCAGGGTTATGAGTTGGCCCACCCCAACATCTACCCCATCTGCGATCTGCTGGAGCACATGAAAGGGCTGGTCCTCCAGATCCAAAGCTTCAGGATCTCCACAACACAGGGCAACAACAGGATATCCAGGAGGAATCCCAATGAGGGTCCAGCATCCATAGTGTAGCACAAGCCAGAGACCTCAAACCAGGCCAATGATTCTTTGCAATGAGCACTTATACATAAAGATATATGAATGAAAGGGTCTACCAAGTGACTCACTATGTCATACTACAGCTTCCATGATGAGATTTTTCCTTTTTTCCTCTTAATTTTTTTTATTTGGGGGGTGGGGTTTGCAAGGGCATAGGGTGGGTAGGAAAGGACGGGAAATGAATGGGATAGAAATGCATGATGTGGTTGGCGGGGGTGTAGCTCAGTGGTAGAGCGTGTGCTTGGCATGCACGAGGCCCTGGGTTCGATCCCCAGCACCTCCACCTTTGTTCATCACTGTGTGTCTCTCGGTGACCTCTACCAATAAGAAATGCATGATGTGAAAGACACAAAGAATAAATAAAAAGAAAGGTTAAAAAAATTGTACTTTGGAATTATGATTAGTCATAAACCAGGAAATAAAAATGTTTAATATGTGAGTCAATGATAAAGAATGCAATGTTACATATAATGTTGTTACAACCAGTACTATTTTCAAAGATTGGCTAGACCACATATTTGTATTATTTTGTAGAATATAATTAAAATAAATGACTTATTCTGTTAAAGCTATAAAATTATTAATGAAACTATGAAATTAAAATAATTTACACAGAAATAAAGGAAAATAACCTTTGCACTTTGGATTAGGTATGTTTCTTTTTTCTATTTTAACATTATTAGCATATATAATAATACATTGGTTATATTTTAATACATATATATTTTATGATGTTCACCTCATTACCCTCATTTGATCCCCTTTTATTCCCACTAATTCCCTTCTTCTCAACTAGTTTCCATTTTAATTTTTCCTAAGCAAGAGCTAAACATGGACAATACCAATAGACATGCTAACATGTAAAGGAGAAATCTCATGGGGTCCCATCTAGACAAAGAACTACAGGCAACTAAGGAGAGAGGGACAACTGATCTTCTCCAGGGATGAGGCCCTTAACTAGTTACCCAATATTAAGTGCTCATGTCCGAAATTATATAATCATATAAATGCAACCAATGCTAAAAGACTCAGCAGATTGTACTTATTATATATTTGTGTGTGTATGTATGTATGTATGTAACAAAAATTAAGGAAAAACAGAAATGACTTTTAGAGGGAGCAAGGATGATGATGAGAGGGCTTGGAGAGGGTATGGTGGAAATGTAATTCTATAAAATAAAAAGTGTTGCCTTTTATTGTTTGATAATTTCACACATACATGTAATGTTTTGATAAAATCAACCTCCCATTCACTCCCTTACAGTTCTTCTCCTACCCTCCAGAATTTCACATATTTATATATTTTTTTATATTCACCCCACATTACCCTCTTATATCCCCTCCTGCTCCTGGTGAGCCTCCCCTTTTTGCCCAGCCAGTTTTCTCTGTCATGTCATTTTTAATGACCCATAGAGTTCAATTAGAGTTTCTTGAATAAGCTTGAGTGTGGAATATTTGCTGAAGCACAGGCAACTTGATTGGCTATACCATTGAAAAAATTAACAATTCCTTTCGTACAGTAAGAAGCAACTTCCAGTAGCTTCACAAGGAAGGGTAGGTCCATATGAACCCATCTCTCATCTATAATGAAATGTTGATAGGCCCAGTCTTGTGCAGATCTCGTGCAAGTAACCACCACTGCAAAGAATTCCTTATTGCAAAAGCTCTATCATTTTCAGAAGATAGCTTTCTTAGTACTCCTCTTCATTCTCAGCTCTTAACTGTTTTTTTTCCAGGCTTCTTCCCTAATATTCCCTGAACCTTTCTTGGAGTGATATGGATGCATCATTTAAGAATGGTTTCTCAGTAGTCATTTTTTCTCAGCACATTGAGCAGTTATGAGTCTTCTTTAACCATTGCAGACTGAATAAAGAAACTTCTCTGATCAAAATATACAGAACCACTAATTTATGGTTATAAACATAAACACTAAAAAGGTAATTTGGAAACATGTTCATTTAACAAATTAACAGCAATCATAGTTGGTTCACCCCTAAGGTCCCAATTACAAATCATAAAAATTAAAACCTGAAAGGAATCAAGATATAAAATGTATGACTTTGAAAAAACAATGTTAAACAATAAAAGATATGTCAATATCATATTAACATATTCCACAAACATAGCCAGTAAAGGACATGTGCCTAAAAGTTGAAAAGATTTTCTAACTCTAAACAGAGATGAGTAAATGTTCCAATATAAAAATAAGCAAAAATAAATAGGAAAGATAACAAAATTATTTACAACAATTAAAAATGAAAATATATTTGTTGTCATTTATTAGGAAAATACAAAAAAATCAACAAAATGAAACATCATGTCATACAAGCTAGAATGACCAGAATAAAACAAATGCACACTAACATCAATCACACAGCAAAAACACCAATGTGTTCAAGAATGTGGAGAAAATTGCAATCTTATATATTGCTTGTGAAAGTATAAAATACTACAACTTATTTTGGAAATTTTTTTGCTGAATTCTTAAGGGATTAACTGAGCACTAAATATATGTTTGAAATTGCACATGCTTAGACTAAAACTTACGTGCAGTTCATCTTAGAATGTGAGTCAAGTTAGATTTGGAAGGTACATGTTCAGTGGGTGTATTGAAGTTTCAAAAATGATGATTTCCATGGCTGAGGGTGAGTACTGAACTAATAATATTTTAGTGTGAATGAGGTAATGCTAGTTTCCTCTTAAAGAGAAAGTCGCTAGAGAAGAAAATTGTGAAAAAGTGTCAGATAGACATGTGCTTTAATCTTGACTTTGCCACTTATTGACTATCTGATACTAAAAGATTAATGATTCTTTGTAGTTCTTAATTTTCCAAGTGGGAGTTATGACTGTACATCTTTAGAAAGCAATTCTGAGTATTATATATATATATATATATATATACATATATATGTGTATATACATATATATAAGTTGAAACTATTAGTAGCTAATATTTGTAAAGAAGTTAACACATGATCAGTGTTTTGTTGAGCACAGTTCACATATTATTTCATTGATATTTTGCAATGACTATGATGGAGGAATTACACTTGACTACTGACTGATGACAGTATAAAAGAAAAGTTTTTTATTTAGTCTACAATAACTTTGAAAAGGGTCTATAATAGGCACTGAGCAGGTGGCCAAAACACTCATTTCCCCTTAGCAGCATTAATAGTTAAGTGATTGTGACTTGCACTAACCCAGATGAGATTTTTCTTAATGCATTTAGTTCCAGCTCTATGCAGGTTGAGTAGTGATGATACAAGACATAATAAACAGTACTATTTTCAAAGGGTTATACTAATACTGCAATAAGTTGTGAATTGGACCTTTCCGTATTGTATATGCTTGCTAGTTTACTTCTTCCAATGTGAATACAAATACTACCACACCCACTTAAGCCATTATCGGTAATAACATTAAGTAGCATTCTACTTAAAATTAGCACTGCAGCTCACCTGAACCATCTCATATTAAGTCATGTAGGGCAGAATGCTTTGCTTGAGGCAATGAAGATCTAGGATAATGGTTGATATGTTCAGAGCCTCACAAGGACATGTAGAAATGAAAGATTCATCCCCATGATCGGTATCAACCAAACAGATTAATTTAATCAGTATCTATGAAGACCTTTAATTTTCCTGTACTTAGGATCTAGTAATGGGTAAAAATTCAGAGATCTTGAAATAAGCTGGACATGGTACTGTAAGACTGAGGGGGCATAATTGCAGAGTCCAAGGCCAGGCTAGGCTGCACAGAAGAATCCTGGCTCAAGATAGAAAAAACAAAAGAAAACAAAATAGAGCTTGGTATTACAAATAACTGACTTCCTTTAACCATTGGAATATATTTCCTCCTAGGAGCCTGGAATTTAATTTCCAACCTTACTTTTCAAAACATAAAAATATCTTCATGAAATTGGCTTAAAGTTTATGAAAAGAAAAAAATCTGTGTGCCAGTTGATTTACTCCAGAAGACAAAAAAGGCTGATGAAAATGGAACGAGAGCAAAGACACAGACTTGTAGACAATTTTATTAAATAAGCATGCGTCGATTACTGCTTGTTCTGTGCATATTTGTCTGCGTTTCTAGTGGTGACTGAGGCTGGTAGACATCTAACCCTTTGCTTCTCTCTCTCTCTTTTTCAAAATGATACAAAGATTATCTTTCTGTTGATGGGCCATTATCTCAGGCAGTCAGGTTATAATATAATTGATTAGACCAAAGAGTTCTTTACATTTCAGCTTAATTATAATCTAGTCTTAAGATACACTCTGGACTGATTGACAGTATGATTCCTTGATTACAATGACACACACTCATATCTTTTAACTATGCTGTGGTCTTCATAATAGCACAGTTATAGACATCTTTTGTTGGGAAGAGAGACAAATCTTTTTCTTGTTTGCTGTTAATTCTATTAAAGGCACATTTCTGACATTTCACTAAAGTTCTGAATGCGCTTCTGAATGCACTGTCTTTTGGGACTATTTTTCATATATGCACTGTGTCAACAAGCTTTGATTATAAAAGAAGGATATTTCAAGGGAACATGTAATAGAAAACACAATTAATGGAAAGGGGGTGGTGATTAAAACACAGTCTTTTAGAAATATGCTTTAAAAATAAACACAAGGTAATTATCTTAGAATTAGATACACTTTGCTTTCTGTGATGCTTTTGATAGGATATATGCCTCCTCATGCTAATGTTTCTCCTTCATTTTCCTTTTTCTATTATTTTTAAGGTATATGTTTGTTTTCTGTGCAAATATGAGGGACAAGTCATGAAAATTACACAGAAAATCAAGAATAATCATAGAAAATGAATGTCTAAACTTACATGTCCTGTAAACCTCTTCAAAGAATCTTTCCCCAACAGTTAGAAATTGTTTTCTCTTCCCCTGATAGATTATCCCATCCCAAGTGGTCAGGAATATATCTATCTGTGTGTGTGTGTGTGTGTGTGTGTGTGTGTGTGTGTGTGTGTGTATCTCACTAATTGGACTCAGTAGGTGTTTTATCTATGTAGTTATAGAACTAACAAATTTGCTAGGAGACATGCAGAATTTGGAAGCAAGAGAGAGAAGGAGAGAAATGATGCATATACAGTGAACTCCAATATGAAATTCTTAAAAAAAATCAAAAGAGGGAGAGGGAAGGAGAAAAATGTGTAGAAATGAGCTGGTTCTATTAAATGAAATTAGATCTTAAACAAAGGGTGTTTAAGTGTGAATAAAAACAAGTGGGTATGTCTATTGAGTGAGTATGCAGCTTCTCA